GTCAAATCAATCAAAAATAAATGGCACAATAACGGTACACTTAATTTGTTACTGTAAATAACTTAAAATTCAATATTCAATCTCAAAATATTTGCTTTCATTTACCAATACACATAAAATACATATAGAAAAATTTCTACAGTACACGAAATAAAAGAAACAACATTACATATGTCAAATACAACAAATACATCTGTTGATATACAATAATACATATGTCAATACAAGAACAATACATAGAAAAAACAACAATACATATGTTGATACAAATACATAAACAAACTGTTTGTGGGACACCGGGGCACTACTCGGAAGGCAGGGTTTCATAAAAATGGCAGAAAATTATGGCAGAAAAACTGAAAAAGATATGTTGCTTCTGGAAAAGGGACAAAAATCTAAAGATGCAGGAACATTCAAAAGCCTGAAAAGCCCACGCTTGGGCGCCATTTTTGTAACGATAATATTTTGCCTACCACAGGGGCCATTAATACAGGGGATAGAAAATTGGCGGAAGAAACTAAAGGGGTTGAGATAAGGCAAGCAAAATAATCGCTACTTGTGCGAACGGACACTCAGGGTTTCGTAGGAGAGCTGGGGTCGTGGATAAGTAAAATGGGGTTAGAATGGGGCAACTACAACAAAAAGAAATAAAGGGCTTTTGGGATAAACAGAATAAAAATAAACAAGAAAACACCTCAAGAAATTTGATTATAGGGCGCCACTTGAGGTGCCTAATTATGCCTATTACAACCACTAGTTGTAACTAGGGAAATAATTAGAAAACAAAATCAAAACATATCTTTTTCAAATAAAAATCAATAAAGGTTAGCTCAAAAAAAATAAATAAAAAGTTAAGACAACAAAATTTAACTTTATTTATGTCACCACAAACAGTTATACAAAATATAAAATTATGCAAAATATATATAATTAGTTACAAATACATAAAGACTATATTAATAGCCACAAACGTAGATATAGAAAGAAACAAAGAAAAACTGACATGTGTCCTATTTTTGTTTACAAGTGGACATAAGTGTCAAAGAAAAAATTATTACAAGTAACGAATTTTCTTTTAATGAAACTATTCATAAAGAAATTAACCTTCTTAAAAAAAAAACGAAATAAATTTTATTACAGATTCTTAAATTTTAAACGAAAGCAATTATTGTTATTTGAACAAAAAAAGTCTATTTGAAAATTATACACAAAATGTTACCTTTAATTCATATAAAATTTTGCACTGAAACTTGTGAGGATTAAACGAGAATTTACTGGAACCCTCTGCTATACAGAAGGACTGCTTCAAACTGGACTGGAAAGACTACCAGAGACAAATAAAAATGAGGTTGGAACCAAATCAACGGCACATTGTGGGCACATTCTATACGCTTCTTATATTTTCCATATTCATATTCTGGTATACTGCACAAATCCCGTAAATATTTAACAAAATATTTAGTGGCTACTCTTTCTTAATCTGTCATATTACAGAGAGTAATTTCCACATCTTGCCGGTCTTGACCACTTAAACCATTATACAAAATTGTCGGTTCTGCTGCCCACACGTCCAACTTCAACTTCACTATTTCTAATAACAAAAATGCAATAACGAATTAAAAGAAAATCCGGACTAAACAATGAAACCGACTGACTTTGGCAGCGATTCCACCGAGAGTGACGAAATTAAAAATTTGTTCGCTTAACTTGAAAATCAACGAACTGCTGAAATAGCAAAACCAACGAACGACGTAGATATCCTTTGAAACGCATTTACATGAAAAGAAATCGCCGCAGTAAAATAAACAACAATTAAATGGATTTATTACTCTACGACGTTAGAATGATTGAAAACACTTTTCGAAAGATACGAACTAAAAAACAGAAAACATTCTTCGTTTTATTAAGACGATTTCATATACGAGGCGACTTTAAATATACTTCAAAGAATCAATCAAATTTAAAATGCTACAACAAAGGTAGGCGACCAAGAGGAAGACCGCAGGTGAGATGGGTAGACGACAGTTAATCATAATATCAAAGACTATGTATGTAAGTTAATTGCAGTCGGTTAATGGTAATGTGGGCTAATTATAACCTATTGAAGAGCAGTACGAAAAGAGGTGGAGGCATGCTGCTCGGTATTACTCGCTACATAGATTCCTATAGTACGCGTAAAAAATCAGACTATAGATAATAAGCCACGCATATAGATATAATCATAAAAGTCCAGAACAAACTACTAAGAAACATTGTAGCTACTCCTTGGTACTCGATAAATAGTGACCTCCATAAGCACTTATGAATGGAAACTGTGCTTTAAATTATCAAGAAGCAGGGATACTGGCAAGAAGTCAGGGGTAACGACTATATAATCACGAAAATATTGAATCAATCTGACTCATCCAAACTGTTGGGTTAACTAAAAACTGAAGAAGACAAAACCATTTGACAAACAAAATGACGGTATCTCTAGAGCAGTGGCACATACCGCTCTGATGGGGCCTAAAAAGGTCGAAATACGTATAAGCGGCTTGCCGCTGCCCTGCCTCTAAACAAAAATCTAATACCGTCAATATGTTTTATTTCTTTACTCCGTTTGGAGTACCAGAAACCGAATTCACTACGAATTTTGACCATGATGAACGACAGTGGAATGCATATTTTAGATTCCCTTGCCGAGTAATTCACCAAGCTGTTTGCTTTGCAAGTTGTAGAAGGCACAGTGGCACAGCCACCTTTACTTCCAAGCCATGAAGTAGAAATTTGGCAACAACGCGTGGTAGTCCGACCGTGGTTTGTTTTGTTTAACATTTCATATAGAAGGCTTGTAAAGTTTGTTGAATTTAGTGTTTTTTAACTTTATTCGAATGTTTTATTTGTAAATTGTGTTTAAATCAATTAGAAAATATTAATATAAGTGAAATTTCATTAAGTTTAGAACTTTTAGAAGATTCTTAACGACAATTTAAAAGGCAAGTATAAATATAACCTACAAAACAAACTGAAAATAATAATACTTTTGTTCTTGTTACAAAATATGTAAACTAAAAACAACAATAATAATACTTTTGTTTTTTGTTACAGATGCCCTGGCATTGTTGTGTACCTGGTAGCAAAACCAATTATGCCAGTACTTTAAAAACGAAACAGGCAGAAAGTACGTTTTCGTTTCCCAAAGATCCCAAAGAAGGTATACTGGGTTATGCTCTATTCATAGAGAAGGCTATACAATTACCAAATCTTCCGTAGTATGTGCCAAACATTTTCATGAAGATGATATTCAGCGGACTGAACAATGAGAAGATAAAGATGGAAATGTACACATTGAAAAGTTAATATTTCCCAAATTAAAAGACAATGCAGTTCCTAATATATTTTCTGAAGTACCATCATATGTAACTGTTCATCGTACTAAAGAAAGAAGGAATCCCGAAGACAGAAGAAACTTTTTGCATAAGAAGAGGGAACAAGAGATAACAGAATTCTTAGACAATGATTTAATAGATTCATTTGAATCATTTTTAAGAGACTTAGACAATAATATCCCATTGAAAAACTGGACAAGTAAAATTACAAGTGACTGTGTATATTTCTATGTATTAAACATTAATCAGTTGGGACACGAGTGTGATAATATTTGTGTAATAAGTAGTGTAATAGTTAGCAGTAATTTTAGTGTAATCGTCAATGTAGGTAAGAATAGATTAAGTAGTAATGATTTGAAATGGATTTTACAATATAGTAAATTAACAAGATGGTCACAATTAGAGAACTTACTTTCTCGATATAGATCTGCTTTTTAGATAAGTGATAACAAATTTGAGTATTACATTCAAAAATCTTTTGAGAATATAGGCTATTTTAAATCGATATACAAGTTATAAATGGTATGTTACATTCAACACATTTTTCATGTATACCTCTTTTAACTTGGTCTATATGACAAAAATCCTATTCATATATAAAATTGCTACTTTCGTATACCTAAGTATGAAAATTCAACAAAAGTTATAAGTAAATAGTAAAATATTTAATTTTCAATTAGATTAATTTAGAACCATATTTATATTGTGTCTGATTTCTTAGGATGAATTTTTTAATCATAATAGTTACACTAAGTTTTTACTTAACAAATTTTATATCTTTTGTATTTTTAATAATCTTTTTAAATGTCGTGTTAATGTATTGTGTTATTTATATGCTTAAGTACTTAATATTTAAAATTTCTAGAGATTCTTGACTGCATTTGATTGTAAGATTAACTGTTTGACACTGTATTTTAAGTGCAATAAATTTTACTCTAATGATTATTTTATTGATAATATAACCTTAATAATAATAAAACTTTATATATATTTATTAGGTATATATAAGGTTTTATTAATTTAATTTCCCTAAAAATATTTCTGTAATGAATTGAAGTTTTCAAAATATCAGTTTCCTAAAATTCAAATTAGTTTAATTTTCTGGTAGACCTTACAGCTGATTATCGGACTACCGACGTCATACAATGCGGTGTTGCCTTTTTACTTCATGGCTTGGAAGTAAAGGTGGCTGTGACAGTGGTAAAAATTTGAAGTCAGTTTCGCCAGGTAGGAAATCGTATGATTTCTCTTGTTACCATTTGACTTAGTTTGAGTTATAGTGAGAAGCAGATAGTAGTGCTTATGCTTGTGTGTATGCTAGAATAGTTCATTTTCTCATTAGTTTACATAAGACACCACATGGTAAACTCTTAATTTGAAAAAAACTTTAGTACTTGCGGTTATATTAAAATTGCACATACTAAAAGTTTACAGATGCAAAAAAGCACAAATTTAAGAAGTCATTTCAGCACAGTAACCCAAATAATCCAAGGATAAAGAAGTGAAAGGAAAATATATGCCCGTCCTAAAATCTGTTATATATTATGTATTTACCAAATTGTTTACTATAAAAATAAATTGAATAACCTTAGTATAAATTTACCGAAATTCAGAAAATGATTGTAAAAATACCTGCTACTGTTCCAGAATGCATCTCCAAACCTAGGATCGTACTTTATTGCCACTGGGTAAATCACACTTCCAACTTCAAAGCTGCCCTTTTTGAATTGCATGACTGAGGTGTTGTTAATGCAAGTACCTTCAGGAAAGATCAAAATTGGTGGGTTCTTAGGGTTGCTGACGTGTTCCTTTAACCTGTAGCAAGAAAAATAACTATAGAAACAAATTACTACACAAATAGTAAATAATAGTAAATCGCAAAATAGTTTAACAAAAAAGTGGTACAATAGGCGGTACTGTCGATTGCCGCGAAGCTTCATACTATGTTTTCTCTACTTTTTAAATTTTAAATAATATTTTTAAAATTGAATAAAGTATTATATATTTATTCATATATTATTTATTTTTATATATAAAAAAATGTACATTCGAAACTACATAAAACCGCTGTTTTTTAATATCAATGATTTTCATAAAACTGAAAAAGTTTACTTGTTGTATAACGGACTCTCCTTGTCGCGTAAATGGACACTATTTTGTGGCGGTAATCCTTCCCACAGCTCACGAACAAGCTTATGAAACTTTTCAAAAAATTACTGTCAAAATAGCCTTAGAAAAGTTATTTTCAAAGACAAGACAAACTCCATTGGCCCCTCTAGAACAAACTAATGTCGTCTATGATATACTCTGAACAGAACGCAACTCCTGTTACATTGGCCAGACTAGCCGCTCCCTTCAAGGTCGAGTAATGTCTCACAAAAGCGAATTAGGATTTCTAAACCATCTTATTGTTGTATTGATTTTACGAATCCCAAAATAATATGCAAACAACAAAATTATTATAAGCGATCCATCGTTGAAATGTGCCAAATTCTAAAACATCCAGCGTCCATAAACAAAAGAACCGATATTGACAACCTGAGCCCGATATATCACTCTCTCATCATACAGAACAAATAAAAAACCTCATACAGGACAAGAACTTTATATCCCTATTCTTCTTCCCTTTTTTTTCTAACTAATACTCAAAATGTCCATTTTCGACTGATTATAATATATCTATTAAATAGAAAAAAAGGAAAAAAAATATATTAAATTAAAAAAAAAGGTCGGCCCCTGTTCTTTTACCAATTCCCTCGATAATCGTTCCTCACTGCATTCCAAATAAACACATGTACGAAAGCAAGGCGCCTTTGGGTATGGAATCATACATGCCCATTAACTCGGCCCACGGAGCACAGAGTCATCTTCTCTGTCGCTCACGTGGGTAACTCCAACCTGGCGCGTCCAAGCCGCGGGGGTTGGCATCTATCACTTCAGTAGGCCGGAGTGAATAGATGGCTAAGTTCAGGTTGGAACCCAGTTCTGTGGGGTATAACACGGACCCCTGCCTAGGGATACAGGTGAAGACCACAACGGTAGGCACGGCGGAGAAGAAGATCTTCGGTACGGCGTGGATGGCGGAAGTGGCATCCATGGATTTTAGGGATTGTATAAAATCAATACTCTATTCTAAGACCACAACGGCGATGAAGGCAGATGAGAACAAAATCGAAACGGCGAAGTCGGCGGAAGTGGCAGGAATAAAAAACAAGAAGGGAAGATCGATCTCTAAAGTCCCGAACGACAGTCGATCTAGAGGAAGAAAACCTTGAGGAAAAATTACCTGGTCCTCCAGGTTGGGGGTTTAGGCGTCAGGCCAGTTCCCTGTCACTTGTAAAAACTGGAAATTACTAAAAAGCCTAATGCTTACCTCGGAATTTCGGACGGATTATATGGAAAAAGACACAAGCTACGGAAACGGATATTGAATATTGGTACATGGAATGTCCAGGGAATAAGAGTAAAAATGGAAGAAGTTATTCATGAACTGAAAAACGCCAACATGGATACAGTAGTCTTGACGGAGACTAAGAAAAAAGGAACTGGCACAGAAACTGTAAATAACTATACACACATATTCAGTGGCATCCCAAAACACCAAAGAGCAAAGAGAGGAGTCTCTGTAATGATACACAAAAAATTCAAACACAAATGAACTGATTTCGAGACAATCGACGAAAACATCATACGTGTTAATATCAACATAAATCAAACGCCAGTGATCATTCTTGGAGTCTACGCCATCTCAGATGACGAATCAATTGCTGCTAAGGACGAGTTTTTCGAAAAATTGAACGACATAATCACCAACATAGGAAAGTCACGAGAACTGATAGTACTGGGAGATCTGAATAGCCGGGTGGGTCAAAGAATAAACAGTGAGGTGATCGGTCCATACGGTGAAATAAACCTGAATGACAATGGAGAAAGGCTGATCCAAGTGTGTCAGAGTCATACTCTGAGAATAATGAACGGCTTCTATAAACACAAGGATATTCACAAATACACATGGGTACAACATACAAGGAATCTAAAATCGATCATTGACTATGTAATAGTCAAACAAAGCACTACCTTAAAAGTGAATGATGTAAGAGTACTTAGAGGACCGACGTGTGGTTCCGACCACTATATGGTTAGGACAAAAATGGTATTTCCTTTTAAATCTAACAAGGACAATAACGTTAATGAGGAACCTGAACAAACAGAAGTGATAACGAACAAACGATATAACTTAAACAGCCTTATCAACGAAAGCACAAGAAACCTATACCAGCACAGATTAGACCAAAAGTTGCTACATAATATAGAAGACCAGTCAGTAGAACAAGTTTACGAAAACATAACGAGTAGCATCAAAGAAGCAGCAGAGGAGGCCATTGGACTAAAAACTAATTCCGCTAGTAAAAAACTTTGGTGGAATCAAGAAATTGAAGAACTAGTACTTCGGAAGAAAAAAGCATACCACAAATGGCTAAACACAAAACAGGAGTTGGATAGAGAAGAATACAAAGTTATTAAAAGAAGAACACGACAACTAGTAAACACAGCTAAACTAGAAATGTTGGACAAAAAATGCAAAGAGATAGACACATATATGGGAGGTAGAAAATGCTCAGAGACGTGGAAATTCCTGACAAAAGTTAAATCAAATGAAAAAAGAGAAACAAACATACAATTAATAACAACAGAGAACTGGATCCGACATTACGAAAATCTATTAACAGAAAACAGAGAGGAATATAGAGAAATGTCTCCAACTGAAATACACATACAGGGAGAAACGATAAACATCGATGAGAGACTGTCATAAAAACGATACAACTACTAAAAAATGGTCGAGCTGCAGGTCCGGAGGGAATTCCAGCAGAACTAATCAAATGCGGCACTAACAAACTGTTTAAAGTAAACAGGAGTAAAAAGAGAAAGTGCAGAGGAATGGGCATTGACCTGGGAGAAACTTGCCTATATACCCTACAGTTTGCAGACGATCAAGTCCTTATAGCCAACGATAAAGAAGACCTGACATATATGGCCAGAAAACTACAGGAAGAACACAAAAAGTGGGGTTTAGAACTCAATACACAAAAAACAAAATATCTCCCAATAGGCGCAGAACTATCCAACATTCAGATGGACACAACCGAAATTGCATTCTGCACTGAATATACCTACCTAGGAATTGATTTCGACACCATAGGCACAGACAATAGGGAAATTAGAAAACGAATAACCCAGGCCCGTAGAACAATTGGATGCCTTAACGGAATTCTTTGGAGCTCAGAAATTGGCAAACGACGAAAATACAATATATATGAATCTCTCATAAAAACCAGCTTAACTTATGGTACAGAGACATGAAGACTAACAGAAAGCAATAAAAGACAACTCGAAGCAACAGAAATAGATGTATTTAGACGATCACTTCGAATATCTAGGGCAGACAGAAATAGAAACAATGAAATAAGGAATCGGATGGGGTAGATGGATCACTGGCAACAGGCATAGAAAGGAAACAACTTGTATGGTATGGCCATGTTCAAAGAATGCCAGAAACAAGACTACCAAAAATCGCCATGAAATGGATACCACCAAATCGTAAGAAACGAGGAAGACCAAAAAGAACATGGAAGTAGGGAATAACAAAGGCAATGAGCTCCCGAGACTTGATCGAAGAACAACGGAATGATAGAAATTCGTGGAAATTAGGCATCGGACAACGACGCAAGACGTTTGAAACCGATATATATATATATATATATATATATATATATATATATATATATATATATATATATATATATTATATATATATATATTTACGAAAGCAAGGCACATATGAAACTATGACATTCAACAACGGATAGCAAACAGCTGAAAATATGAAAATATACTAGTGTGGTTTGGCCCCTATATATGGTTTATACTAGTTTGGTTAGAGAGAGCTAACTAAACATCCAAATGAAGCCATCGGTTAAAATAAAAGAAATCACAAAAAAAAATAAAATAAATAAACAATAGTGCTCTTATACAATTTTTCTTGTGTTTTTTTTTGTTTAGTTTTAATGTTAAGTTATAGTAGAGTTTTTATAACATCTAAAAAAAATCTACAAATTGTTTTTGTAAGTATGAACCCTGTTCGTTTTTTACTTACATCATAAGATTATTTCTATTTGTAGAGCATTGACCGATCAAACCTCTGAAATTCAATCATTGACAATGTCGACAAGATCAAGTTGAAAAGTTAAAACAAAAGACAAAAGATTAAAAAGGATTTAAAAAGGCGCTTTGGAGATTAAAAAAATATATTAATTTTAGAGCAGAAAACGGAATGAAATGTATTTACCTGTTTGCAACGGCACTTCTATCTCTAGTCTCCGACCTTTCAAACCAGATATGCGGTGAAGCTCTGGCTAAAGCTCTCTGGAAAATTCCTAAGAAACCACCATGACGTTGACCAATCTGTTCACACAAAATAAAAACGATTATGCACGTTTAAGATTAAATTTTCATATGTAATGTGTCTTTATATAGAATGAAGTTAAAGTTTTCGCTTAAAAGAACTTGTTATTTCAGTACATTAAGAGAGCGTGCAGTGTCAGTTTTGACGTGACTTTTTTTAACTAATCAGTTGTAACAGAATGGTAAACAGATAACTACGTTATATTATATTTATCGTTTCATTTTAGAATGATCAGTCGAATTGAGAACTGAAACAATCTTGTTAATTGTTGGTCCCGAACATTAATTCATGTTTTGTATTTTGAGAACGATTTTCGAAGTGAAAATCGAAACAGGACCTTCAAGCTAGCGGCGACAAATGAACGGAATCCAATTTAACCTACGTAATATTTTTTCACTAATTTATTACCACCCTAATAAGTTTTCACCACCAAACCAACCTTAAGGGGAGCGATTCTGGTGGCTTAAGGTTTAAGCTAGTACAATCCCAAAAAAAATATTTATGATATACCACAGTGCTCTGCTAGATTTTCATGAATTTATTACCACACTAGTAATTATTCACCCCTCAACTACTCCTTATGAAAGGTCAATAATTTTATTGGGTTATTAATGAAGGTGATAACAAATCAATTTTTACAATTTTACTGTACTCTTCTTGTAACTGAAAGTATAAATTTTTTACCAGGTTTTTACTGAATTTTATCCACCCTCATAATTTTTGACCCTTAAAGTCACGGTTAATGGAAAGATTCAACAAGCTACGAATTCACGCTAGCTAAATGCGAAATCTTTTTGCAAATACAATAGTGCTCTTCTAGATTTTTAGTATATTTTTACCAGCCTAGTCATTGTTTTCGTATCTACCCTAATTAAAAACATTCTAAATTGTTACTCTGTGCTATAGTTTATTTTTATGAACGAGAGAGTAATTAGCATAATTTTAACTGGTACCTCTGACCACTCCATGGGCGTGCTCAAGATTAATTGAAAAATTACTTTGAATAATTGTAAAAAATAAATGAATTATTTCAGTGTTATAAAGTGTTATGTGTATGTAAACAAAAGTGACCTCTTTTATCACACACTATATTAGAACTGACTGGCCTACATTAAAAAGGGTTTTAAAAAATTCACATTTTTTTTAATGTTTAAAAATTACAAAAGAGAAAAAGAGTTTTTAAAACCGTCTAAGGTATGTTAAATAGATGAATAAAAATATTAATATAAAACTTACAGCTACTTGTTACAAATCCAAATCAGATTCAGAAGATGAACTTTCAGAACCAAGATTTATAATAACTGGCTCGATCATTTTATCAGTAATATTGTCCAGCTTCCACATTTTTTCCTCTTCTTTAATAGTGTGATTTAATGCCTTTTCCCAGTTTTCAGGTTTTACATTATTTACGGCCTCCAAAAACAACTGTTTAACATCATGAATTTTAAAAGTGGTATTTTTTCTTGAAACTTCACTCTTTATCTGTGCCCATACCAGTTCAATCGGGTTTAATTCACAATGATATGGTGGGGATCTAAGTACTGTCATTCCACGATTTTTGGCAATTTCATCAATTTCGTATTTTTTAAATTTTTCTTTATGAAGGGCACACAACGAATAAAGTTCCTTTCTTATAGATCCGGGATGGTACGTAATATTTTTTGAACTCAGCCAATTCTGCAAGTCTTTTTTAACCACTTGGTTGTGGGCAGTCCTTCTATAAGTCTGGAGTGATAACTTGCATTATCCATTACTATTACACAGTTCTTAGGAAGAAGATCTATCATTTGTTCGAACCATTCTTGAAAGACATCAGCGTTCATGTCTTCATGGTAGTCACCGGTACGAGTTGATTCAAAAGTTAATAAACCACCTTCAACAAAACCGTCTGAACTGCCAATGTGTACTATTATCAGCCTGCGTCCCTTTCCTGATGGTGGGTTTAAACCAGTAGATAAGTTATTTACAAAAGCGTGCCTTTGACTTGTAACAGTTTCATCCTGCCAAAATTTATTTGGTGTATGACCCTCGTTGATCCATGTTTCATCAAGATAAAATATTTTTCTTTTTGGTTTCTCATTTCCTTTATGGTTCTTAGAAAATGTCTTCTCCATATGACAATATCGCTTCTTTCTAATAAAATAGACTTTCTGGGATTCTTTTTCCAGCGGAAGCCTATTTCTTTTAAAAGTTTCCATAACGTACTTCGACTCATTTCTGGGTAATCCTTATCATCTCGAACTGAGACAAGAACTTTATCCAATGTTGGAAATTCTTGTCTAAAGAAGAATTCATGCACTTTCCGTCGAAGTCCTTCTTTAAAATGATATTCTATTTGAAATTTTGGTTTCCCTGGAGCATTACGTGGCATTTGAAAACTACCACATTTCTCTTCTTTAATAACTCTGTAAATCGTAGATTTCCCAACACCAAGTGTACTGCTAACTAACTCAACGGTCTCATCAACACTTTCACATAAACGTTTGTCTGTAAATGATTTAAAACAATTAAATATTAATGTTTTTTCATTAACTGTTAAAGGACCAATTTTTCGGCGTTTACACGGCACTTCCAAATTTTCCATAACACTAGTATACACAATAAACTGCACCTTGCAACTGAAGTACCTACTTTTAGTGAACTGTTAAGAATTTTGAATACGCCACTTGGACCTTCCTACAAAATGGAAAAACCCACTATCACATTTTCTGTGGAATAAGTTTAGAAGGTAATTATCTAGTCAATTACTGTCGTAGATTCCTGGAATTAAAGAATTAAATGTTTGATTGTTGAAACCCTTACTTCGTGGAATGCACTCATTTCAGATAAAATAAAACGTTTTATTTTATCTAAAGAATTAAACTTTATTTTGCAAATAGGTAGGTACTTATTAAACTTTTATTGGTTATATATAACCAGTAAAATAAACATCTTACATTTCTTGCAAATTCATTAGTACCTGTTAACCTCCATCACTCCGACACTGGCAACCTTATTTAGGGATTAGTAACCCTCACATCCATTTTCTCCATTAAAAAGGAGTAAGGCAAGGTTGTATACTGTCCCCAATGCTGTTCAATTTATACGTAGAAAAAGCCTTCGCAGAAGCAGTGGAGGACTCTAATAAGGGTAATTAAAGTTAACGGCATATTTATTAATAACATCAGTATGCCGACGATACAGCCATAGTGGCAGATAACATCGAAGATCTTCAATGCCTTTTAAATGATCTAACTCTTGCAAGTGAAGCTCGGGTTTGAAAATAAATATCAAGAAGACAAAATCAATGATTATAAGTAGAAATGATTACCCCAACGCAAAGATATATGTCTCTGGAGAAGAAATCGAACAAGTCAGGCAATTCAAATACTTGGGATGTTTGCTGAATGAGGGTTGGGACCCCGAGAATGAAATAAAGAGCAGAGTTGAACAAGCCAGAAATGCTTTTTTGAGGCTTCGTAAGTTTCTGACTGATCGCAAATTGACTTCAATCTCCGATACAAGATGCTTAAATGTTACGTGTGGCCTGTTCTCCTGTACGGAATGGAAGCATGGACGTTAAAGGCCAGTTCCATTAACAAACTTGAAGTGTTTGAAATGTGGTGCCTGCGTCGAATGCTCAGAATATCATGGACGGACAGGGTCAGAAATGAGGAAGTACTCAGAAGAGCGGGCTTACAGGATAGGGAACTTTTTAATTATGTAAAAAGTAAGAAGACTGCATACTTGGGGCACATTATACGAGGAGAACGATACAACTTTTCAGCAACTGATTCTCGAAGGGAAAATAGAGGGTAGGAGAGGTCTCGGACGTAAAAAAATGTCATGGCTGCGCAATATTCGACAATGGACAGGAATCCACAGCTATGAAATGCTTCGCAATGCTGCTAAAAACAGAATTATTTAATCCTGAATATTTAACATCTCACCTACAAGACGATGTACGGTGGACGCCTACGCAGAAAATGCACGGCACCTTAAGAAGAAGAACCCTCACAAGTATTGTATTCTATTCTGTTCCAACCTTTATACCTGGTGGTCATACTCAATTTAAAATTGTTTCCTATATACTTCTGTAAACTTGTTGACAAATATCTGTTTTTCATTGAGTCACCCGTATCAACAGTTTAGGGATTTGCATACATAATTTATTGTTTTATTACTCTCTCATACATAAAAATACACTATAACTAATAGTTATTTTTTAAATGTTTAAATATTGAAAATATGAAAATATTTTATTACAAAAATTATAAATTTTAACTGTTTTAAACAATTGACTCTGATTATAGTAGTGAGTACATGGCTAAGAGAAATCTAATTGAGCCCCTTTAATGAATATAAAATACCTGGAAATCAAGTTGAGTTTTAGTAAATACAATGGAATTGTTATTTCATAGAATAATTACCAGGTAAGAAATATGCAAATTGAAATAATTTTATTGTCTATTACATTAATTACCTAATTGTAAAGGAGGGTCGGTACACCTTGCGCATCTATTGTTCAAAAATTATTTGTTCAAAGATTTGTATTTATTGGCTAAAATTAGGTTAAAATTTAAAATTTTACATCCATAGACCTGAGCGAATTGTACCGCCAATGAAGGAATGGGGGCTGCAGACTTAATCGGATTTTATATTGATACCGCGCTCTTTACTATTATTTAACTTTGGAAACAAATTGCAAATATAGCGCCTCTGTACTGTCCCTGAGTTGTTTTATGCTGAGTACAATAGTTCTTGAGTAATTTTTAATAGTAAACACCAGTGCACATTCATCTACGATCATGTCTATAGTTGATTTTTAACTCTTGAAATGTGAAAACGTGCACTTTTTTTATATCGGACGAAAGTTCCGACGGGTTAGTTGAGAGGCGAAAAAATAGTAAAAATCGAGCAGAATCATGTGGTATTTCAAAATTTTTATTTGAAATAACTAGCTTAATATTCGAGCATCCGCTTAATAGATTAATATTGACTTCCCACAAGGAGTAAGTCT